GGAAGCCGTCACGCTCGCCCTGGGGGCGTTTTCCCTTGAGCATCAGCTTAATTTCTAGAAGGCTGCTTCTGTTTGCTGATTATCTGGGTTGAAGTTTCAAAACTGCTTTCTCTGTAGATGACTTGTCCTCCGCAGCTCCGTCTTGGCACAAAGGTTCCCCTCTGTGGGGGTAGAAACTTGGTAGAGGAATGGCACTCTAGTATCAACAGTCCTTTCTGGAAAAAAAATTAAAACTTTCAATTTATTGCATTTCAGGCCGTTAGTAATTGCTGTAAATTTGTTTTCCTTAATTTTAATCCCATAATTCATCCAGATCTCATCTTTCACATCTTTAGAAAAATGTGCCCCTTACTAATACATGAACATGGTATGTTTGTTCTTTCCAACCCATTTTAGGTAGGGTTAGATCCTTTTTCAGAAGTGGAACATCCTATTCCTAGACTATTTTTTGTGAAAATTAAGGTATGTTTTATCTGCTGACAAAAATCTGGATATGCTTATTCATGTTAGGATATCTAGTCGATTATCAGCGTAGGTATCTAACAGATTCAAAATGAAATGCACCTTAAAAGTAGCCTAGAGCCTGTTATGCAGAGTGAAGTCAGAAAGAGAAAGATATCATATGTTAACACACACACACATAAATATATATATATATATGCTTGAGGAAAATGACACTGAAAAACCTATTGGCAAGGTAGGAATATGGACACAGAAAGAGAAAGATATCATATGTTAACACACACACACATATATATATATATATATATGCTTGAGGAAAATGACACTGAAAAACCTATTGGCAAGGTAGGAATATGGACACAGACATAGTGAACAGACTTGTGGACCCAGCAAGGAAGTAGAGGGTGGGGTAAATTGAGAGACCAACGTTGAGACATACACACCACCACATGTAAAACAGAGAGCTAGTGGGAAGTTGACATGTGCATAAAACATAGGTAGCTCAACCTGATGCTGTCTGACAAACTAGAGGCGGGAATGGGGTGAGGTGTGGAAGACAGGTTAAAGACAGAGGGGACATGTGTGCGCTTATGACTGATTTACTTTGTTTTATGGCAGAACCAATACAACATTGTAAAGCAATTATCCTCCAATTAATATTTTTTTAAAAGAATAAACATTTAAACTCAATTATTTAAAACAGAAAAAAAGAAAAAGCAAAAAACAAAACAAAAAATAAACTCTCCTACAAAATGCTTTTTTTATTTCAGCTACTTCCAGGCAGGTATGTAGGTAAAATTGTCAGGAATGAAGTTACAAGACCAATATCAACTTCTGCTCATAAGCACATTTTTTTTTCTTTCTGTTTAGAGATTCTTTGACAACTTAAAACACTATGAGTGTTTCAAAAGTTGCATTTCTTTTTGTTTTTTAAATTTGCTTCTCTTTATTACAGCATGGTCCTAGTAAATTGGACCTATGTATTCTTTTTTAGGATTGATGAGATATCCACGTCATTTAGTGTCATGCTTATTTACAAAGGAGAATTGCACTCATTATTTGTTTCAGCTAAGTTTTACTTACAAGATGGAACAAATTGAATGTCCATCACCCATGTGAGTAAACTGATCTAATTCCTAATTCTATTGTTAGGATAGTGAATTGAATATTTCTTTGTTCAATTCAGTATCACCATCACTCGAAAACAAATCTACAATCTGAGACAATACCTCCAATATATCAGTGTAACAAAATAAAGAATCATCTTACAATCATATTACAGCGCAAGTTTGCAGTCAGTGATGAAGAATCTCTGGTTGCTTTCATCCAAGGGTCCCACTATTCCTGCTTCTTCTTTGTAGTTTCCTACTGGATCTTCAGCTTGCAGAAACCTGAGATGCCAGACAGACATAAGGAAACAAATACACTATTCAGAGACTCTATACATAATAAACACAACACTTCTACCCTTATGTCATTGTAGAAACTAATCTCCTGGTCCAATGTAGTTCTGAGAAGGTTTAGGGAATGATATTCATTGTATGTCAATAAAACAGATGTATTTGAAAAGCATAAAGCCAGACTCTGCTGCAGTCCTCACTTTTGGTCACTAAAATAAAGGGTGTTATAGCATGCTGCAACATGTATACCTTTAGACTGAAGACTTAGCATGACACATAATGGAATAAGTATTTATGGTACATATTTATGCATATTAATTTGTTTTGTATATATATTTGAACCTAACAATACAATGTCATTATTATTTTCATTAGGTTTTGATGTTTAAATTAGCAATAGTATTGAGGCATAATTTACATAATATAAAGCATGACCTTTAAAATTCAATCAGTGATTAGTTGAGATATACTTGACTTATAGCATTATATTAAATTCTGCTGTACAACATAAATATACTTTAAATGATCATCACAATGTCTTGTTAATATGCATCACCACCCAAAGTTATGGATTTTTTTTCTTGTGATGTGAATTTTTTAAAATTTCTATTCAGTTCAGTTCAGTTCAGTCACTCAGTTGTGTCCGACTCTGAGACCCAATGAACTGCAGCACGCCAGGCTTCCCTGTCTATCAACAACTCTCCATTTAGTTCCTTATCTTAAGTTTCTCTCAATTATTTTCTAGTTTACTAACCTTCCTGCAGGGTTTTCATTTCCATTGCTTTTTAAATGTTCATATCTTTGTTCCTATTTAAATAGTATTTTCAATGTCTACTTATTTTGCTTTTCGATGTGGAAATAACGGTTTCACAGGCGGCGCTAGTGGTAATGAACCTGCCTGCCAATGCAGGAGACATAAGAGATGTGGGTTCCATTCCTAGATCAGGAGGGTCCCCTGGAGGAGGGCAGGGCAGCCCACTCCAGTATTCTTGCCTGTAGAATTCCATGGAAGGGGGGCCAATGTGGGAGAACCAGGCTTGATCCCTGGCTTGGGAAGATCCCCTGGAGAAGGAAATGGCTACCCACTCCAGTATTCTTGCCTGGAGAATTCCATGGACAGAGGAGCCTGTCAGGATACGGTCCACTGGGTTGCAAAGAATCAGACATGACTGAGGGACTAACACTTTACAATGTTCACATATACATTTATTCTCTCTCTCTCTCTCTCTTTCTTTCTTTTTCTACTGTATAGGCTAGTATCTTTAGTAAAATGTTGAAAAAAAAAATCTGTAATAGAAAAGTTCCTTTCCTTGGTTCAAATTACAGAAAGACATGTTTCAATATTTTTAAATTTGTTTTGTTAACCCTATTGCTGAGATTAAAAAACAAAAAAACAAAAAAAAATTACTTTAGTGTCATCCTTTACTGAAAGCATTCTTTAACTTCTTATTTCCCAAACTTAAGTTAAACACCATTCTATTATTACAAGTTCAATGTGGATCATTTTGCTGTATGATTTATTTTATGCTTTTATGCTAAATTATTATTTATCTAGTAACAGTTTATTCCCCTAGAGTATGAAATTTAAGTGAAAACTGGATTTTTCTTCTCTGTAATGCATCATTGTAACTACACTATATAGTTATGTGGAGCTTTTTTAAGCATGGAAACCAAATCAGTCAGCATATGAATTCTCTTTAGTGATGACAGTCAGTGCCTATGGAAGAGGACGACCATGCAGCTGACCCCTGCCTCAATACTGGATAATGTATGTGATACAATCAAATGATATTATTCTAAACCATACATTTCGGATATAATTTGCTGTGCAGCAACAGAATATTGAAACAAAGGACTTCAAAATGGCTTTGAAACCAAGTTTAATATTTTGCTTCCTTCAGTCCTTTCAATGGGTAATTTGTAATAGCCACGGTTGTCATCTGTTACTGTCATCTGCACATTATCTCCTCTGAAATGATCGCTGTAATTTTTGTGTGCTTTTTAGATGTCTTTTTTGATGACATGATACCTGCTCAAAGAAGAGAACTAGCTGATAGATGAATTATGGTCTTATGAAAAATAAGTTAAACACATAGTATAATAAGAGAAAGACAGATTTAAAAAGAAAATATACAAGAAAAAACCTTCCTCAGATTGCATCATTTCCCAATCAGTTTGACTGAAAATGATCCAGTGTACTGTCCATAGTTCAACACTTTCTATCTGAAGAAATACAAGATCTTTTTAATAGTAATTTCTTTTTAGTTTAATATAGTGATTCTGTCTTATCAAGTATCATCCTTTACAACCAGGAAAACTTGGGGAAATAATGTACCAAATATCCCAAGTATTTTTATTTTAATTTCAATTATATACTTCACCAAAAGAATTTAAAAAAAAGCAAGAGATCTTAGAGAATGGATAACACTATATGGGTGAGAAATTATTGAATCTCATACATCTTATATCTCTGAACAGCAAACATGCATTCATATTTTTTGCATTAGTAAAAATTAAGGTAGCAAATTATCAAGATGCTAGTAGCATGATTTGGCTACATAAAAAAAGCATATCTACAAAGAAAAATTCAGACAGAAGCAGAGAGTAAAAATCTATTGCCACACTACAAAATTTTAAGGGTCATTATGCAGAATTTTATTTTTAATCTTTACAGATGGATCAAATCGAAGTTACTGAAAGGTAAAATGTCTAAAGTCAAAAGCACATAGATATTTAATGATTGTTCTCCAAACTTTTCCCATCTGTGTTATCTAAAAACATCATGAAAAGGGAAAAATAAAGTGCATGATAGTTATATGAACAGGAAAGTACAAAAATATCTATGGTTTTAGGGGAAAATGTAGGTAAGTAATACTATATTTTCTCATAAAATTGCAACTCACCAGTAAATTTGTGGACTGAATATAAGATTGCCTAAATACATAGTTTCTTATCAGCAAGGCACCATAATATAATCCTGATATTAGAAAATCCAGCATAAAACAATAAGGTCAGGAATGAATAAATATAATAAATATATTAATCACATGGAAAAAGCAAACTATTTCTGATTATACAATGACAAAATTAAATAGGAAAACAGAAAATGAACTTAAATCAAGCAACTAATGCTTTACATTAAGAGAGCAGTTTTCTCAAGGCTGTCAAAACATCCTTATTTCTCAGAGTGTATATCAGGGGGTTAAACATCGGGGCGATAACGGTATAGAAAAGTGAGAGAAATGTGTCTGTCCTGGAAGAATTTTTGGATTTGGGTCGTAAATATGTAGCAATCGCAGATGCAGAGAATAAAGTCACCACCAGGACATGAGATGAGCAGGTGGAGAACGCCTTTGCGCTTCCTGTTGCCAATGGCAACTTCAGGATGCTGGAGGTGATTCTACAGCAGGAGCCAAGTGTCAGCAGGATAGGGGCCACGGCGAAAAGCACAGCAACTGTGAAGACCTGCATCTCGTTCAGAAACGGGTCCCGCAGGCCAGCTTCAGTACTGGGCGGATGTCACAGAAGTAGTGACTCATTTGGTTGGATCTACAAAAGTTCAGAGAGAAAACCTGGCACGTCTGCCCCATCTCAGCTGGAACTCCAGTGACCCCGCAGGAAGCTACCAGCTGGACACAGACCTTGTGGCTCATGACCAGAGGATAGTGCAGGGGGCTACACATGGCCACGTAGTGGTCAGAGGCCATCACTGTAAGAAGCAGGCACTCTACGTTTGCAAATACAAGGAAAAAACTCATCTGTGTTGCACAAGCAAGCAAAGAAATATGTCTTTTCTGAGTCCAAAGGTTTGTGAGCATTCTAGGAAGAGTGGCAGACACATAACAGATTTCCAAGAAGGAAAAATTACCGAGGAAAAAGTACATGGGGGTCTGGAGAGTCTGGTCTGTCCTGGTTATGAGAATAATAATGCCATTTCCCATCAGAATTATCACATAGATAAACAGAAGCATCACAAAAAGAACCATTTGGAGATTGGGAATGTCAGAAAATCCCAAAAGAACAAATTCCGTCATTGAAGTGAGATTCACATTCACTAGATATTTTTGAGGTTCCATCTGTGAAAATAGTACAATTAGACATTTATCTTTTTTTGCTTTGTAATTCTATAAATTAAAGGGATTTAGGGGAATCATTAATATTACATAAGATTTCTATTTTCTTTTAATGTCTAGTATTTTATATCCTGGACTAAACATAACTGAAGCTTAATGGAGAATATGTATGCTAAATTCTAAATATAAAAGCATAAGTTGCAATTCAAGGTTTAACTTTAAATAAAAGTGATATGTTTAAAAATTATGCACTTTCATTTTGAATCTGTTTGTGTGCAGAGCAAAATCTACCCATTTTACTTTTATTAAGGAAGCAAAATTCTGAAGCAGAAATATTTGCATCCCACTTTCTCAGTGGTAGGGCACCACCAAATCCTGTAACGCATTTTTCAGGAATTTCCCGACTCTTCCATTAGAACTTTTTCAAGAATAAAGCATGCCATTCCTTTCATATGCTTCAATGATAGCTCTTACTTCTTGTGCGTGCACTTTATTTAAGACCATTCTGACTGCCTTTATCTACTTAAATAAACAACATAGCCATCAGGAATTATAAAGCAGGAACATTTATTTATCTTTTACAGGGATGCAGCTTATGTTTGACAGTGTTTTTGACTTCTCAGTTATTTAATAATGACAAACTTGAAGGAATTACATTGATGATATAATTTCTGAAACTCTGCCTGGTAAATCTATTCTAAAATCTCTTACGATGTGCCAGAGGCCACTTTCATTTAAAAATTATCATGCTAATAATATATATAAGATGCAGCACATGAAAATCAAAACTGAAAACTATAAATAATTTAAAATATGGCTAATATACAGTTGTCAACAATATCAAAAGCAGAGAATATATTTTAGCTAGTAGGTAGGTGAGCAAATATAGTTTAGTGTGTAACTAGTGAGACCTACAGACACTCAAAGTTCTCCTGTGTTGAGATATACTTAGAAAATATAAGAATTTTATAAGAAAGGTGATTAGTAAACTGTAGTTTAAATAATATCTAGGAAATTGGAAAACACAAATTCCATTGTGCTACTCTTGTGTTAGTAAGCTACTTGCAATAGCAGATGATTGAATTGTGTTAACACCAGGTTATATTGATATTATAGATGAAGAAACTAGGGCTCAAAGGTTTACATGATTAAACTAGGAAAAAAAAAAAAGGTGTTCTCTTTGACTTCCAGGATTCATGAGCATGTGAGAAGGGTAACAGATCCATAGCTATTTCCAAAAGGAAAGAATTGCCAGAGAAAGAATACATAAAAATGTAGGGGTCAAGACCTACTTTTGTTATTAGAATTATGGTTCTATTGCCCATCAAGATAATGATATACCTAACTAAAAGCAACCCAGACAGAAGCCACTGGAGCTGGTGAACATCAGCAAAGAGCAAGAGAAGAAATTCCTTCAATTTAGTTAGATTTTATATGGTATATTTCTTCTTGTTTTTATTTTTTCATTGCTGTTCTTTTTTTTTTTTTCTCTTTTTTGTGTTTTCTCTATAGAAAAAGAAGATTAAGCAATTGCTTTTACTCCTTCATCCCCAACATTTCTTGTTCTTCAGTGCTAAATAAATTATAATTTCTAATTGTACAAGTCCAGCATTGTGATAGTTAAATTTTCAGCATATACCATGAACAAGATTCATGGTCAGATGAAATTTTTGCATGTTATTCTCAACAGTGAGCAATTTAGAAAAAACAACTACTGTGTGCTCTTTCTAAATTATCTATACTATACCTCTTTCTTGTAAATGTTTAAGTGTTTATTATTAAGGGAAATAAATATTAATGCTTTACTACTGCCATCTTTGAACTCAAGTCTCCATTACTTCGAAGAATTCAAATTATTAAGAAGATGTATGATAATATTCCATATCAGTTTGTCATTGGTCATATCACCATCTCTACCCTATCTACTTCAGTTAGGTCTGTATATGTGATATTAATTATCAAGCTAAATCATGTAAGTAATTTAAAATCAGTATTGAACTCAAAATCACTTCATTATTTTAATTTAAAAGCATTTATTTTTTTCTTAAAATAGATGCTCCTTGAATTCCCCAGAACTTGCAATTGTATGAACTAGATTGTTTTATATTCGTTTCAGTTCAGTCGCTCAGTCGTGTCCGACTCTTTGGAACTCCATGGACCGCAGCACACGAGGCCTCCCTGTCCATCACCAACTCCTCGAGTTACTCAAACTCGTGTCCACTGAGTCGGTGATGCCATCCAACCATCTCATCCTCCGTGCTTCCCTTCTGCTCTTGCCTTCAGTCTTTCCCAGCATCAGGGTCTTTTCTAATAAGTCGATTCTTCACATCGGTGACCAAAGTATTGGAGCTTAGGCTTCAGTATCAATCTTTGTTTTATACTAAATCTCTTCTTAAAATATCATCAGGAATCTAATTAACTTAAAAATGCCCATTAAAATATACTGGCTCAAAACCAAGTTTATCTCCCCACGTTATATAAATTGTATCAGTTATTCAAGTCTTTAGTATTTCAAATAATTTAATATTATTATTAAATATTTTAACTGTAAACTATATTTTACCTAGTTAGAAATACATGGAAGTTCCTTTAACATATCACTCTTGCTATTATATATTAGTATTAGATTTTAAAATAAAAGTTATAAACTAAAGCTTACAAGAATATAAAATAGCTTATATTTACCATTCTTATATAAGATGATGCTGATTTTATCTCACTGTAGAAGATGTAAATAATTATATTAGTTTATGTGAAATCACAATTTAATCAGACATTCAACTTAGCTTTAAAATATTCCATTCTTTCCAAAATAAAGGGCTCTTTAATAAAGTTTCTCTACCCCATGAGATCTCTTCGACCAGTCATGTTACATTTCCAATTAAAAGCACCATTTGGCACTCTATGATTTCTTTTATTTTTCCCAGGTAGTTCTCACTCCATCCAAAATACTTTCTCTTCATCCTCTCCATGGACTAGAGTGCACAGCACATTTTTTATTTCTTAAAATTGAATAAGGTGCTGAGCAGCATACCTGGAGACCATCTAAAACTGACACACACCCAGTTCAAACGCTGTCAAGATCACTCTACTGTGAGCCTCTTTCTATTAACACTGAGCTTGCAGCACAGTTTCCTGAACATGTTTTTCTTATATCCTCCTATATTATATTCTTAATTGATATTTAGGGCCTGCACATGTAATTTCCCAGATGATAAATACTATTTTAATCTTATATGTTATTGATTCTTCCCCAGGCACTGGGGAGACCTAAGAGATAGATGCTGTATTATCATTCCTAGAATAAAAAAAAAAAAATCAGAACCACGGATAATAGAGGTTTTATTTTCTCAGTTTACAATTTCTAGTGTGAATGCAGTTGTAAGAGAAAATAATACCAAAACTTTGTATCGGATAAAATAACTTGAATTCTCCAACTGAGATAGTGTGGAAAGACACAGCCTGTGTCTTCTGGGCTTCAATTCTGGGGAAAAAAAGAATTATTCCCAACACCTAGATTGTTTCAAAAATGTTGATTTGTACCCAGTCATGTTACTTATTAGTAAGCAGTGGCTTCTAAGGGTTTATGATTACAAACAGAAATATCCCGGAGAGGGAGCTCTGATGATAGTGTCATAACAGAGAGCGACTGCGAAGGTAATCACAGAGAATCAGGGAGCATGTGGAAGGCACCACGGAAGGTGAGCGAGGAGTGGGTGATGTGAGAAGCCAGCCTGAACCGCGCTACTGCAGGCTCATGACCAAAAAGCCACAGAGCTGGGAGGAGTTCTAAAGCCTCATAATTAGCACAGTGTAGAATTATGCATGCAGAGAGAGAATTTCTGATGCCATAGGAAATAAAATTCAGAAAAAAACCCCACAAATTTATCATTCAATACCAAAATACCATAACACCTCTGCAAATATAGACTTTTAAATTAATGTTATTGGAATAGCACAGTAGCTTTAAAATAGGAAAGCTTTAAATGATGTGTAGGTTTAAATAGTGTACAAAGTAAGTGAAACAATGAAAGCATTCTAAATTAAAATTTGTATAATCTTGAAGCAAGAAAACTTTAACTTTGGCTCAAAATTAAAATTCAGGACACAAAACCTGAAAAAAATTAACTACATAAATGTAGGTAATTCTACTTGATGGAAATGAGCATGCACCAAAAGTAAAGTTAAACTAGTTTGGGTAAAGTTTTGGAAAAAATATGTCATATCTCAGATAGATTTTTACTTTCCATTACAAAAAAAGATATTTTTTTTAGTTATCAAGGAAAAGTCTAAAATGAAATTAGAAAATGATACACAAATAGTTTAAGGAACACTTTACAGAAAACAGAGGGAAACAATTGTTTAAAAGGGAAGATACTCAACTTGTTAATGAACAAGGAATAAAATTTAGCTCTACAGAGATTTAGTTGTGAAAAATAATCTGATCTTTTTCTATGTAGTTTTCTGGGAAAGCACATTAATGCACTAATAATATTGAGAAAAACTCTGATAGAAATTAAAATTTATCCTATAATAAAAATAGCATACCAAATTGGCAAAATATGAGCATTAAAAAATAAAAACCTGCTATTGGACTAGGGTTTAACACATATTTTGAAAGTTAAATAGCGAAAGAGTTGTAAGCACATGTTTCTATACTGTTAAAGCGAAGAAAGTTTTTCTCGACTGATTCAGAATTAGAATGCAGAACACAAAAACCGAAAAATCTACACAAAAATAAATGATTCTACTTGGTACAACCTTACATTAAAAGTAAAACTGAAATGTTTTGATAAAGATGACAAAATATAATTCCTCACCTAAAGTGCTATTTGCTTTTATTAATAACCTCCACTTAGATATCAGGAAGTCAAAATAAAACAAAAGTAGAAAAATGAACCAAATAGTTGAAGTAACAGTTCACAGAAAAGGGAGGAAAATCATCATTTAAAAATAGGGACAAAATCTCAATGGCATTCAAGAAAAAGGAATGAAAAACATAT